TATTTTATGTAAATATTGTATTTTAATGTAAATTTTGGTCAGCTGGTATTCCAGAAAGGACAGCACAATAATTTAAATTCACAGGGAAACGTGTGTTCTCGTGTGTATTTGACAATAAAATCTTTGAATCTTGAATCTTGAATATTCAATTAAGTTCTATTTTATGTGTCAAATCAAAACATATAAAGGTCGAGTCCTTAAATATAACCGAGAAAATGTTATGGTAAGATTTCCTTTCTGACTGTGGAGCAAAGTAACTCCAACAATTCTCTGTGTTTCTCTTAATGTGGGCTCTGGCAATACCAAACAGAACAATTGATTCTTTAGAGTGGTCAGCGGGCTCCCATTTATCTACTGATCCCTGAATCAATTCTGACACACAAACAGAAATAGCTTCTGAATAACATTGTCCCACCTGAGTGTGAAACATTGTGGAGTTACAGAAAGATTTAACTGGACTGTGACCTGCAGCAGCAGCAGCAGCAGCAAAGGTTTTAATGAACTCTTGTGCAGGTACCACTACAATGGTCTCCAACTCGCAGGTCACTGTGGTGTTCTGGTTGATTTCTGTGTTGTCACACTGCAGCTCAGCGTTTGAGCTCCACGACACCATTCACACTCTGAAAGAAGAAAACATCCACCTGCAGCATCGACTGGACAACCTCACCCACGCTCTCAGAGATTTAAAACACCTTCTGATGGAGCACTCCAAAGGTAAGAGCAGAGTTTTTCGTTAATCGTTTCCTGCTTTCAATTTTCTTCTTCTTTGATCATTTTAATAAGTTTAATAATTTTAAATGAGCTAATTTTAAATGGGATTTGATGAATGACATTTTGTATGCAAGTTGAAATCTGAGGGGAAAAACTTTTTCATATAAAGATATTAGATGGTTCCTAAAGGTACATTTTGATCCATTCAAACATTTGAGCATTTTGTGAATCCTGGACACACTGTTGTCATGATAAATAGTGTTCACACCCATAAAGTCCTTTGGCAGAAAAAGCATCAAACTATAGCACAATAACTTGGTGGAAGGAAGTGAAAAAAAGAACCATTGGAGTTTTGGCAAGGTTGAGAACAAGATCAACAACAGATCCAGGTTCCAGTTTTTACAGATTTCCCCAAAAATAATTAATGGATCTTGATAAAGAAGAAGAATCAGGCATATTTACAACAGACTGTAAGATTGTAAAATTAGGTGCAGCCTGATTTGATTTAATTGGACTGTTGGACCTTGACGGAGGTTTGTGCTTTACTGATTGACGTTGAAGTTGCCACTGTTAAATTTCTGAATTTCATTCATAATTTCTCACAGTGTCTGAGCTGGAACACGACACAGAATACCTGCACGTCTGGAGACACTGGTCKCAACACAGTAAGGTCTCAAAACAAAGCTTTGACATGATGAAACGTAYACTCTGTCTCTGTCTTCACTACAGTGTTTTGTTTTCCAGGCATCAGTGCTGAGACTCATCGAATGTTGGAGCAGACGCTGTGTTTGACTGAGCTGCACACTGCTGCCCCGCCCCCACCAAGTCTCCAGCAACCCGGGCGTCCTCCTCTTCCTCTTGCCTCATGTGATCCTCCCTCTCTTGTCATGACTCACCTCCGAGAGACCTTCATCTTTTTAAAAACATCACCTGGATAYTAAGTCCCTGTGACTGCAGAGGTATAATACTCTATACCTCAATTCAGAAGGAGAGGCATGAACATTTTAGAAAACTGATTAAAACTCTTGACAGTTGCAAGAGCAGATAAAAAAATATATATGATAATTTCACATTTCTTAAGATGGAATGTGATTTTATGTTTAAGAAGGTTTGTGGGAGCCATCTGAATGATAGAAGAACTGTATAAGAACATGGATCAGTGATGATGAGATAATACAACATGGCCCAGAATCCACCTTTGTGACAAAATCTTTCCACAAGACTTGAGCTGAAGCCTCAGGTTCAATCTAGTATCTTCATTCAGAAAAGTGGTGAATGTGTCTTGTTGACATCAGTCTGGTTGAAGGACTCAACAATGTCCCTTTGGAGATTTGCTTTCATGATAAACAAGTGTCTGTTCAGTTCAGATTGAAGAATAATATCAACTTGGCCTGTTTTATTGCAGCAGAAGCAGAAATCTCTCTCGTATCACACACAAAAAAAAGCCCCAGATAGAATTGATTAACATGGTTGCAAATARAAAATCCTTCACAGTGGGTGTTCATTAAATATCAGACTTCTTCATTGTCTTRTTGATCCAGCTGAGTTGTTTCWCTGAGAGATACGTGAACACTSSAGGSTTTTTAWTCWGGCCACAAATCTTYMGTCCGAAAGAAGTGACTCCGGCTAATACCCCGTTGCACATCAGTGGACCTCCTGAATCCCCCTACAGAGAAAATCACAATCACTTAAAGGCTGTCCAGACACTGATAGGAGGGACGGCAGTTAAATCCCTGCAAACAAACATTCACTGTTACGTACCCCACAGGTGTCAGTGTTCTTTTTCCCATCCGAACCAGCACATATCATGCCACTGGTGATCACAGGTTTGCTGTTGTAATATTCAGCAGAGTTGCACTTCTCTCTGGCGACCACCGTCACATTGGTGGACATCAAGACGTCTGACATTTTCTTAACTTTGTTGTTTGTGTAGCCCCATCCTGCCACAATACAGCTGGTGCCAGCTGGCGGGTCTTTGATGGCATTACCCAACTTAAGACACTTCACCGTCTTGGTTTCCTTCACAGATCTTTTGCCAAGCTGAAATAAAAAAAGAAGAATATGTAATAATGCTGACTATCTTCACATATATTGGCTGATTGTTCCATCTATGCTTCATCATTGATGCTGTAATGTTATCTTACCTTGAGCAACATGATGTCATTGACC